TCTCATTCGTTTCGTGTTCGGCACCTCGTTACCGGCAAGGAGCAAGATGTGCATGCTTCACGCTTGAAGTTCTACGCGGACAGCGACCTGGAAGCTACGGAGGAGCTACTGGAGCACGTCACTTCCCAGGGCATTGTGTTGAAGGTTGACCGACTTAACAAGCACCGTTGGAACGAACAGAACCAGGCTTTTGAACTCCTAGTGAGTTGGTGCGGCTTAGAGCCCATAGAGGACTCATGGGAGCCTTTCAAGTCTTTAGCACAGGATATCCCTGTGCTAATACGTACCTACGTGGAAACTGCCGAGGACGCCAAGCTGGCGACAGCTTTGCAGAAGCTGACCTCGAGCTAGAGATCTTCATGTGCCAAGTTGGCAGTCACAGTGTGAACATGATCCTTACTATTTCGGCAGTTGCCTTGAAGTAGTGATACGTACAAGGTCAGTGGCATGTGCATCTATGACTCAACCTGTATGGTTGTAGGCATAAGAAAAGATGAATTTTAGATTATGGTACAGTGTACCAAGCTGACGTTGCAAGATAGTATCTTGAAAATACCCATATTGCCTGTTTGCAAGATGTGAGCAAGGAATTGTAGCGTGGGGCTCAGGTTGAAAGCCTTGCCCTCATTGCACTTTGGAGTAAATGCAAAGATGCATTTACTACCAGCTGGCTGTCCTTACAGTTGCAGTTGTAATTACTAGACTTGATGTTCCATGTCAGTGCCCAGGAGGTTTGTGTGGCGAGAAGAGGAATCGGACAGAGTAGTCTAGTCACTTTACCTTTTGCTTTCTACTGAGCAAGCAATACAATCGGCTAAACATTCGGAAGTGCCAGCTTCCCTAACTGTGTCTACGTTTTCGTCTCGTGTACGTACTACACTACTGTAACAAATACCGGGAGGGATACGAAGTATCCTGTAGAGCATCATAGACTTTATATCGTCCCAAAATGTCGATCGAGTTACAGGTAACATTAGGAGACACGTAAGAAACCTTCAGTCCACTGTAGCTTTTGACCAAACTTTCGTTTTTTTTTCGGTCTAACAATCGATGCCGCAATAGCTTGCTGAACAAGGTTCGTAGAGAATGCTTGTTTTAGCACAATGGAAGGCAATGCTAGCCTATGCAATTGCCTAGCTTAAATACTCTTGGGTGTATCGCTTGCTGATACTGGGTAGAGCAACTTTTCGGAGCGGTGCTTGAGATAAGGCCAAAGCGCATAAAACAATGAGCGCTCAGAGGGATGTCCAAGTAAAAAAGTAATGACTTATTTGCGCCAACTTATTCCATAAAAAGGGCAGTCTTGAAAAGTCGTTGTCAGATCACCTTGCTTATAAGTCAAAGAAAAAAAGTTGGACCGTCACCAACTTTTCTGAAGGAGAGACGGCTTATGTCAAGGGGGGCTGGATTTCAAGAAGTTGCAGCTGGTGGAGAACGCCTCGAACTACGTCGCCCACGCTCCTCCTGGCCACCGAATGGAGCCCACAGAGCCTGGTGGGACTCCCATGGATGTCGACGATGGCTTTCTCAACGTGCAACACGCTGCGGTGAATGCTAGAGCGGCACAATATGCGATACATGACCGTCACGGTTTTGCTGGTAGCGAAGACGTCGAGATGGGTGTTCCCGGCGACGGGAGTGCAGGGGAGGCAGACGGAGACGTCGATGACGATGTGATTGTATCGATCTTCTTGCTGTTCATCACGCTTGGTGCAACGTTTGGAGCTCTGGACTGGAGATCACTTCGCGCTCCTCCTAGCGAACGAATTGTTGTCAGATCGGACTTTTACGCGAAGCTGAAGGAGCAGAGGTCCCCTTCGGCCTACCGAAAAACACTCCGCTGCATGCCGGCATCATTTGATGCCCTTTGTTCGTTCTTGGAGCCTTTGTACTACAGGAAGTACGGGCTACCAGAAAAAAACTTGCATTATTCTTTTGATTGGGGGCTTGCGGTCTTACTAACCTACTACGGAAACGGGTGTGGACAAGACGATGATGGTATTGGAGGTGCAGCAGCACAGCTTGGGATGTCTCGGCCAGTTGCAAGTCGCTACATCAAGCGGCTGGAAAAACTCTTATACGGTATGATGGACGACGTGATTTACTTTCCGTCGCCTACTGCAGACGATGAGTGGGGGGGCGTTGGTGGACGGCTTTGCTGGGGAAAATCCCGATTTTCCAGATGTGGCATGTGTATTTGATGGCTCTAATACGGACTAGAAGACCCAACGACCATCAGGTAGATTGCTAGGTACTCTCTTGCTGTCTTCAAATTGTGATCATCGCTCCCTCAATTATTTCAGGGCTTTTACGACAAGAGCGGCAAGCCATCTTATAATTGTTTGGCTGCGATTGATTTCCGCTACAAGTTCCGGTACATTGGCGTTTTCAGTGGCAGTAACTCCGACCAGTCAATGTGGAATCAGTCTGTAGTACTTGGTGCTCGGGCTCGTGATATTTGTCCTCCTGGAGTGAATTGGCTGGGTGATGCGGGCTTCAAGTTGTGGCCATTCCTGATGGTCCCTTTTGACGGGCGCGGTGGCAAGCGCCTCACGAAAAGACAGCGGAGGTATGATCTTCAATTTGTTTGTGCTATTTTTTATTTGATGTGCTTGAAATGTTTGCAGTTTCAATTATCATCTCTCTCAGACACGAATCATTGTTGAGCGCGTATTTGGAAAGCTGAAAGCACGTTTTAAGGTGCTTCACGGGGTCACGGATCGACGTAAACACGAGACGAACGCTAGGATGATACATTCTGCTGCGGTGCTGCACAACATATTGATCGATATTGGCGACAAGCAGTTCAAAGGTGTGAGAGATATTGAAGCTCGGAAGCAAGCCAAAAATGATTCCAGGCAAGTGATGACAGCGTACAATCAGAACTGGGACAGAACGCAAGGTGAAGTTGACTTGGCGATTAGGAAGAGAAACATGTACGCTGACCGTTTCTACGAACGCGATAACGAGCATAAATGACGCTCCGCCAACTCCTGTCCTCGTAAATTCAGCTATTCCGTGCTTGAACGATTGCCTCCGTTCGTCATTTCCGTGTAGAGGTTTTTGGTAATCTGGTGAAGACCAGAAATGCTTTGAAGCAGTGCTTCGGCTGTGGCTTGCTGTGTGGCGTTTGCAGTCTCAATAGACGCCGTGAGTTTGCTGAAAAGCTGGGTCATTTCCGAGTTATTCGGCGCTGGTTGATGGCGAACCGAAAGTACTCTCTCAATTGTCTCGAAGCCAGAACGAAGGGTATCGCTGACAGTATCAATGGGACGCTTCACACCCGTCGAATATTTTTGCTGATTGTCGCGGCGTTTTTTCGCCTTTGCTTTTTCCTTGGCTTTAGCGCGAGCTTCACTTGGTGTGTCGGAGTCTTCGGAATCAGACGTCTCCTTGTTTTCGTCGCCTTCACTCTGAGTATTGGCTACGGTGACGTTTGCAGCTAGACCTGACTCCGTGATTGCTTCTCCGGTGCTTCCAACGCGACGCGAGAATGCATCACACAAAAGAGGCCAAAGTGCTGCCAATTCGACACCTAGCTCAGCGCGATACTTCGCCTGTACTTTCAGAGGGTCACAAACCAACTTTGCGTGAGAAACGGAGATATCACTGTTGCTGCTGTCGCTTTCGTCGGAATAGCTGACAAAAAAATCAACAGGCATTTCAGGATACTTGCGCTGGGGCGACTCACTGTCGCCTTCTTCATCACTGCTGTTTTCCTGGACTCTGTTTCCTGTCCCCAGCAAACGAGTGCGTTTCTTTTTGTAACCGGATCGAATGTTGCTCAGCTTGTTCTTGAACTGCTTTACACTAACCCCGCGAGGTCCGTCATCCCCCCAAGCATGTTCCTGCAGCGCACGCTCCTGGAAAACGTTGATGGTGTCCTCCCATATCGCTCGAATTGTTTTTGTGTCTGAAGTTTTTTTCGCGAACTTCGCCAAGATGCGTGAGTTTTTAAATCGAGCCTCAATTGCTAGAACAGTCAGCTGGATCGTCCAGTGCATGCTCTTCACTTCTTGAACACCATCTGCTTCATTTTGTGTGTTTGCTTGCTTCGCCTTGGACGACTTCACCGGCTTCGGCTTCGTAGACGCAGCAGAGCTCTTTGGCTTCTTGGTCTTGCGTGTTTGGCCATCTGAAGGGACATCTTCTGCGTTATCCTTGCTCGTAACTGGGCGGGAAACCCGTTTTCGCTTGGCTTTGGGAGCTTGGCCAGTGCTGGTAGTGCTGGTGATAGCAGCCATCGAGGCCTGATGAGCTTCAACAACCCTACGGCTGGGGCGTCTGTTTCTCTTGGGCATTCTCTCTGGTGTCAGGTCCTGTGCAGGCGAAGAAGGCGAAGCTTGTTCTGCAGCGTCTTCGTCTTCTGAGTGATCCTCTTCATACTGCGTGTAGTAAGGTGGCAACTCTGCCGAAGATGGAGGTGCCGTGACAGCAGCTCTATGAACCAAGCGTGCAGCACGTACAGGGGGCACGTACATGTTCCCGTCCTGTGTCATATCGCGTGCTGGTAGAGCTCTACACTGTCTTGCGCTGTCCTGGGAGCGAGGCATACAGGGCAAGGAGCGCTCCTGATGAGCACGCTTTCAAAAAGGAAACCAACTCTCTTTGAGCATGTTGAAGACATGCCGTTCGATAGGTCAGTCAAAAAGTCGTCTCCTGGCGAGTGAACATGGGGACGACTTTTGGAGACAACTTTTTTCAGCGCTCTGATAAGTCGTGTAGCCAATAAGTCATTACTTTTTTACTTGGACATCCCTCTCATGGACGTCACCACGCTGTTTCCTCCAATGGCAGCTCCACTGGTACATACTTTCTTAGACTGCTACCCTGTACGGATTTATTTCACTGTAGCAGCGGAGTCATTTGCATTGAAGCTGAAAAGTGGCGAGGGCAAGCAGATTCATCACATCGAATTCGTCTCGATTTTCAATTCAATTAGTTCAATTCTACAGCTGATACTTGTAGTCCCTCCCGACATAAGCGAACGCGATCTAGTTTTAATTTCGTTCCAAAAGTCGTTTTCGTACATGTACATGTAGCTTAAAAAGCGCTCTACTACATGTCTAGTAGAGTCAGGATACAGCTTCATCCTGACGTAGATGCGCAAGTAGCTGCATTTACACTTTACACTTGTCTGCATTTCTCCCCAGCTTGATGCAGGGAGTGCGTCTCACGAGTATTTCGGAATGGTCGAGCTACTCACAAGCGCAGCGAGTACCCACTCGACGAGTGGTAGTATCCACCGTTGCTTCCCTTCGTCGAGCTTGTCGTATTTGTGGTGGTGGAGGAGCTAGATGAAACACCGTCGCTGCCCAAAGTCTCGACAGTCGTCGTCGTCGTCTTGGTGGTCGAAGCGCCCTGGCCATTGCCCACCAGCATCGACAAGACATCCGACTTTTCATTCTCAGCACGTTTACGCATACGTCGGCGCTGGTTCTTGGTCAGCTTGACATCTCCCATGGTCGGCGTGCCGCCCACAGGACCCACACGCTTCGATGGCTGTCGCTGTTGCTGCTGCGCGTTGGGCTGTGAGTTCTCGTCACTAACTTCAGCGTCACGAGCGCTGCTCGTCTTCTTGTCCTCGTCTTCTTGCTCCTCCGTCTCTTGCTGGTACCGACTACTGCGACGTTGCCGGAACTCCTCCTCACTGCGCAGCAGCTCCTGGATCTTGTCCTCCATTATAGTGCGAACCTTTGCGACTTCTTCCGTCGGTCCCTTCAGCGTGATGGCGCTGTCACTACGCCGAATGTCAATCATCACGTCCGGGAATTGCTTCTGTAGAGCACGGATGTTGGCTCCGCTCTTGCCAATCAGAGAGCCGAGCATGGAGCTCGCGAAGGCTGGAGACACGGTAGTGGGGAGAGCAATAGACTCAACCACGAAAATATCGAGGAGATGCTCCATCTTCTCCACTATCCGCTCGCGTTCGTCGTGGTCCTCGCCGTAGACGACAACCTGCAGCTCTCCCTTCTTCTCGCCGTCAATCACGTGGAGCTGAATGCCCTTGGCAGCGTCCTTCTTGACAGACAGAGCCACATCCAGCTTGGTCTTGCTGACGTCCACAACGGAGGACATGTTCTTGTGGTGACTCAGCAGCTCCTGCACCTTGTCCGTTGCAAGTTTGATAGCCGCGTCGTCTCTGGAGCTGATCGTGAGAGTTCGGTCTTCGTGACGAGAGCCAGAGGGCGAGGGAGCACTCACATCCAGTCGAGCGTTGCTTTCCGTGCTGATTTTCTTGATGGTCTCGCCATTGCGGCCCACCAGAATGGGCACAAGCCAGCCAGCAACTGGCAATTCAACGTGCTGCTTCTTCCAGGCCTCGACGTCCTTTTTGAGCTGCTTTGTGATCTCCTGGACGTTCTTCTTGGAGTCTGCAAACACCTTGAGGCTGGTCTTGGTGGGCAGCGAGAATACAACATTGTATTTTGCGCGGAGAGTGGGCAGAAGCTCGTACATGCGCGTCGCAATGGACGGAGGCAGGTCCTCTAAAGTCTGGAAGCAATCCGAGAAGTAGAACTGAAGCACCGTCTCCACTTCAGCCTTGGCCTCGTACACCTTGGACGCATTCGTGCCTTCAATTCGGATCGTGCCTTCCTCCGTCGCACCTGAAGCTGTCGGTGAGCGCTTCACGCGGAGCTCGCATCCAGTTTGCTTGCAGATCCGCAACGCGTTCTCGTTCAGCTTCGCAGCGTCGCCCTTTACCTCCAGAGCGCTGGCAAACGCAATGGAAGGCAGCGGAATCGTCTCCACGAAGTGCGAGTCTGGTGACACCAGCATCTCCAAGAACTTCTTGATCTTGCCAATCCCCAGGGCGGGACCACGGATCTTCGCCACCTTACCGTCGTCCTGGAAAGAAACCCTCATGCCCTCGCCACCTTCAGCCTCCAACTCCTGTAGACGCATCGCAATCGACTGGTGTTTCTCCATTAGCGAGTTAAAGTTGGAAGAGGCTGGTCCGGTGGCGCCACGCGGCAAACCTGCACTCTGTTGCTGCTGTTGCGATGCGTGGACACTCTCGACCACGTGAGTTTCCTGCAGAGTCTTGAGCACGTCGTCCACGCAGGCCTTGAGAGCTTCAGGGGACGCAGCCTTGACACGGACCTGGCCACGGTTCGGGAATGCATCCAACGTGGCCTCGGGGTGAGCTAGACGCATCGTCTTAATGCGCTCGCCCTTTTTACCGATCAAGCAGCCCGTTGCGAAGGCGTCCAGCTGCAGAAGCTGACGGTTCTGCGTCTGCAAGAGCTCATCGACAGCGGCCTGTACAGTCGTAAGCTGCTCTTCCGTGCCAATCATCTCAAGCTCAGAAGGCTGGCCACCCGATCCTCGCAGCACACGGACCTTGGCTCCGCTCTTGCTCTCGAGTTCAGACACAGTCTCTCCCTTCTTTCCAATCACAGTCGGGATTTCGTCGTTATCCAGCGGGAGGTAGCGGACGTGGTGCGCCTCGTCCAGTTCTTCCAGCTGCTCCTTTGCCTTCTGAATCGACTCCAGTGAGCCAGTGAGCGAGATCTTTACCTGGTCCGACTCACTCTCGCTACTCCGAGCGGCGCCCTCACGAGGCGGAGGGGGCAGGTGCAGCTTGCAGCCACTGCTGGTTTCGATTCCCGACAGCCTTTCGCGCTTGGACGCCATCAAGATAGCGATCAGGTAACGAGACGTCACGAAAACCGAGCGCTGGTTGTTGTCCACGATCTCCAAGATCTTGCCCTTGGCCTTGGCGATCGCTTCATCGTCGTCGCCAAACACGCAGACGTACGAGTCCTGGATATCGATACGTACGTTGCTGTCCTTGCCTTCGCTCTCGATCTCCTTGATCTTGCTCCCCTTTTTGCCTATAATGAGACTCAACAAGTGACTGTCGGCCACTTCGTGCACCCAGTGGTGCAGCTCAAACTCCCTGAGACGTTCTCGAAGCGCGTCGTCCATGGCCTCGATTTGCTGCTTGTTACCCAGCACGTGAATGCGACGCTCCTTCTTAAAAACCTTGATACGAGCCTCCGCCGCATCGGTGCGTAGCAGACGCAGCTGCTTGGCCTTGTCAGCCATGAGGAACTCTGCGAAGAAGGCGAACTTGTACGTGGCGAACTCTGGTCCTTCAAACAGCTCCTTGTCTTCTGGAGTAAAGTTCTTCTCACGTTGCGACTGCTCGTTTATGAGCTCACGGACGAATTTCTCGGCGCTGGCGACATTATCGTTCGTGCCCACAAGACGCACATTGTTCGTCACCTTGTCGATGTCCACCAACGCTCCCGTATCTTCCATCAACTGGTTGATCGTCTCTCCCTTCTTGCCAATCAGCTTAGGTACGATCTCAGACGGCAACAAGATGTCCACCTTGGCAGCTGTCAAGTTGTTAATGACCTTCTTTAGCTGCTTGGCCTTGTCGGGTGAGGCCTGGACGGTCAAGATGCCGTCCGTCTTGCTGATGTCGATCTTGAGCTTGAGCGACCTCTCCAGCTCATGCAAGTGCTTAGCCTGCTGGAACATGAGCATCTTGACGGTGTCAGGGTGCAGCCCAATGGACTGAGTGGTAGCCAGAGTGACGTCCTCGATGGCTTCCTTGGCCGCCTGCACTTGCTCCGCTGCGCTCGTGATCTTGACGACGTTCAGCTTGTTGTCCACTTCGATCATAGCGCAGCAGTCCTTCTCCATCTGGTGGACGTGCGTGAACTGCTTGCCAATAACTGCGCCCATTTTATCGGCGGGCACCGTCACCTCGATCGTGACGAAGTCCGCCACGGGCTTGTTGATGTGCGCCGCCAGCTTGAGCTTACGGATGCCCTGCTGCAGTTGCTGCAGCGTGGCTTCGTATTCCTTATGTTGCTCGAAGCGTTCTTGGCGCTCCTGGCGCGTGCGGTCGATCATGGCCTGAAACTCGTCGCACGCCTCCTGTTGCGTCAGTTTGTCCTTAAGTTGCTGCAGCTCGCGCAACAACACGCGCTCGTCGCCGGCCGACATGGACGTGGTGTTACGGCGCCACTCCTTCTGCTCCATCTCCTCCTTGAGACGCTCCGCCGACATGTTGGGGCGGCGCGGAGGATTCTTGAAAGCCACGCGCAGCTTCTCGTCCAGCTGCTTGCCGGCCGCCGCGTTGGCCGCTTTGGAGGCGGTTACGCTCTCCAGACGCTGCTGCATCTGCTGGAGCATCTCGGCGTCGGTGGGCGTGGACATGGCGGACAAGCGGGGAGGACAAAAAGGAGGGCGGGCAACCACTTGAGGTAGAACGGGATCTTTTCACGAATGACAAGGATCGAGGAGGACACGTAAGACGGCCGCCAGTAAATGACTTGTTCTCAGTATGTGGCTATTTTTGTCAATGTGTGGAAATAATGTGATACACATCACTAACAGGAATGAAGGTCACGTAAGTTGAAGTTTCTCTTAGCGGAACGGAGAGCGTTTGTCCTGAAAGTTTCGGTTGGTCAGCGTCTTCTTCAAGGCGCTCGAGGCAGTTTCCCGCCGGATCTTGAGCACTGTGCCGGTGATGGAGTGGGACGATGACGGTGTGGGTGTCGTCAATGCGGCAGTTGATGTTTCTGTGGCAGCGGGTCGAGACATCGACACAGAGCGTGACAACATGAGGATGGTTGCCGCCTGCTTCTTCGTGGCTGTTGCTGCTGCAATATAGCTTCGTGACACCTTTCCGCCTTTGCGATTGGGTTTCGCTTTGCGTACCGATGCTACAGGGGCGGGAGGAAGCTCAGATATGCTCGAGTACATGATGGGGTGGACTGCAGCAGGTGCTACATGTATCGGCTGAGGATTTGGTTGGTCGTGTTCAGGTGCCTCGTGGTGGTGTTGCGTGGGCGGAAGTGCCACATTTAAGGAAGTGAGTCCGTCTTTGCCGTATCGTCTGGTCATGATCTCGAGCTCAGTCCCCCACGATGTTTCGGCGCCGGCATTGTGACGAGCGTGGTCCTGCATGTCAAGTGAGGAGAACGGGAGAGCGCTGCCGAGTTGTGACTGTTGTAAGGCAAATCGGTTCATGAATGCCTCTAGGGAGCGATCGCGGCTGCTGTTCTTTGAGGCCATACGCGAGTCTTCACCTCCTCCGACCGCTGTACGCATCTGCTGAAGGACGCGTACGATAGCTGCAGGGTTGACGCTATTCGAGGAGACGCGGGCTGAACAGGAAGAAGGGTAAAACGACCAGTGCGAGGAACTTTGTTCCGGGTTTTATGGTGTCTTGAAGTAGCACGGTGAGTTTGGAGCTGTGGTAGCGCACAAAGGCCACGTCTTTCAGCCGGACTTCGGCTAGTGTCGTAAGAAGCGCCTCCGCTCCATTTTCGACCGTAACTCGTTGTTTAACCTCCTCGTCAGGGTTGTCAGACCACGGGAGCGGTGGGTTTACAGCAGATTTTGCACCACTACCAGACCCTAGCGCCAACTCGACTATCTGAAGCTTTGATTTGACTGGCGCTGCGCCTGTGAGCAAGCTTTCGTACGACAAGCAAACCGTCGCAACCGTATGGGTCAGTGACCCGATTAGTGCCGGCACTGCACTAGTGTCTCCAAACGGCTGGATCGCATTGGTAGTGAGATATTCACGACCCCCAGCGAGCACCATCAAAGCCTCTTCGGCGTTTTGTACCTCCAGCACCACAATCTGTCGAGCAGCGGAGGCGTTTGCCTCGGTCGTTGGAGCTGCCACAGCCTCGAGACCTAACAAGTCGTAAACGGTCTCGTTGAAAACGGCGAGGAAGCTGATGGTGAACTTGGCTCGATGGAAGCGAGCATCATTCCCGTGTGCTCCTACGGCTGCAAACAGCTCACGCAGTAGCAGCTCTGGGACCGTTTGCGATACTGTAGACGCCCCAATTCGTAGTGGCGAGGCTCCTACAAACGTCGTGACGCATGCGTTGCATCCGTCGATGACAGATTGGAGAAGGGGCGTCACCGATTCGTGGCGATCCCATTCGCGAGCTCGGTCCGAGAACACTGCGTCGCATTTGACGCCCAGCACTTCATCAGAGTTCTCACCCCCTTCGCGCAAAAATAATTCGCCATTGCTGTAGTTGGCGCGAAGCACTAACGTGTCAGTCTCGCTGTCATCCCCGGTCACAGGATCCGGAGAAGGTTCAACGTTTTGTAGCTGACAAATGATCAATGCATCGCGTCTCGCACGCCAAACCTGCTCATGGAGATGCCGGCGTGTCAGTTCAGCGCTATACAACGCCAAACGTAGCGGAGCATGCTCCATATGGGCTGCAATTGCATATCGCGACGAACGTTCGACGAGTGTCATGACGGGGGCCCGAAGTCTCTCTAGAAAGCGTCGGAAATCTCCTTGGATAGCCACAAGTGGTGTTCGAGTCTGCGCCAGTGTTACGCGCATTCCACGCAGCGAGCTGATGGCTTCTCTGGCTAACCCATTCACCTGTCGACGATATACGGTGTGACGCTGTATGGCTGCTTGCTGAGCCTGCAAGTGCTCCCGAGCGCTAGCTCCATACGCTTGGAAGGCCTTAGATTCCGCTGTTTTAGCTGCCACCGCCCCCTTGAGTTGGTTCGCTTGATGCTGAAGGGCATCCCTCTCATCTCGAAGCGTTTCCAGCTCACGCTCCCGAAGTTCAGCACGCTGACGAGCTGTCTGCAGTTGTTCTCGAAGAGCGACATTTTCCCGCTCTCTGTGTTCACTCTGTGCCTGCGCCTCAGTCCACTTCTCCATGATCGCTTTAAAATGGGCACCGCGTTTCCCCATTTCAGCGGTGAGGTGGTCTACATTCTCACGCAGCAAGCTTGTCTCCTGTGTTCGCAGTTGGTTCTCTTGGCGAAGCTCTTTTGCTGTCGCATCGCTTTGCTCGAGTGCTTTGCGGTCTTCTCTGGCACAAGTCCGCAGTGCTGCAAGCTCGTCGTGTTGCATTGAGATGCACGCGTTCAGCTCCATCACTTGCATTGCACGTTGGTGGGCCTCCGCGAGGGCCTTCTCTTTGGCCTTCTTGGCGTCCAAAAGTTCTTTCCAGCAGAACTCACCAGCTTCTGCGTCACCGAGCATGGTGGGGGCAAGTTGATCTCTCGCAGAGCTGGTTGATGCACTCCCTCCCTGTGACGCTGCGCTAGAATTGGAGCTTGCAGCGGCGGCGGCTCGCAGTGCCAGAACCTCTTTCTGCAATTGATCCAGCTCCATCAACAAAGAGTGATTGCGCTTTTCCACCTCCCCACGCTTGCTGCGCTCTTCTTGCACTTTCTCCGTCATGTTCACCAGCAGCGAAGCCAGCGACTCTGGTTCAGATGCGGAGTGTGAGTTCACCATGGTGATGTCTTCTTCCACTTCGTCTTCATCTGCTTGGTAACTTTCGCTTGCTTGTTCCTGCTGGTCAGTCTCCTCCTCGAGTTTTTCATGAGGTTCCTCAGTATCAGATGTAGTGAGTCGATCCATCTTCTCGACGCCACTTGTACTACTGCAGCTATACAATCAGCGCTGGCTCGGACAAGTGCAGACACAGCAAGTGCGATGTATGTCAATGAAAGTAGTTTGTTTCTCCGTTGCATGGGGCAACTTTTTTATAGTCGTCTAAGTATAGATGGCTACACTTTTAGAATTGGCTCGTGTGTTTATAGTCGTGCTTAAGTGTGGCCGATGATGCAAAGCTCGCGGTCTGCCGATGGACAGCTTACTCTGGGCGTGAAGGGCCGGCTCAGCAACCAGGAGATGGAACAGCTCCGCAGTCAGGTTCGTTCATCGCGAAGCCTACACTATCGAAACACGTTGTACATGTAGCGCCTGATATTTGTTTCAATAGCTCGCTCAAGCAGCAGCCTACGCCCATGTGCCAGATCACAAACGTGCTGCGAAGTCTCGGCAGGCCTCAAAGCCAATGACGAAAGTCTATCGGCGAATAGACTCCGCCAGAGATGGCAGTAGCCACCAAGCACGACCATTCCGGAAGACGCTGGCGAACATCCAGTATGAGCAGCAATTTTCGGCAAACGCCTACGACGCGCTGAAGCCGCGCCCCACTCGTGGCATCAGTTCAGAGGCCAAGGCAATTCTGCAGGATGAGTACGTAACTAAACCTCGGGAGGTGAGCAGTATCCCACAAAATCTATCGACCGTGAAGCCAAGCGAGGATCCTGAAACCGACAACCAGATCACAAGCGGAAAACGTCGCGGACCTGCATCCATTCCTCAGCTTTTTATCATGTAGTAGAAAAGTAGCTATGCTGTCATTTGAGCTACTTTTTAGTTAAGTACACAGCCAGTTTGATTTCGTTTCGATCAAGATCGTTTAAACTTGAAGGCATTACTCGAGCACAGCATTTTACGAAGGCACGTAGCGCCAGCGCGCGCGAGCGTCCAAGTCGTCCTTTTGGGCATGTTGACGCAGCAGCTCCTTCTTCTCGCGTTGCCGCTCCTTCTTACGGCGGTTCTCGCGCTGACGCTTGGTTAGACCATCCACCAATGGTTCCGCAGGAGCAGCAGATTGCACGCCACGCACCTGGCGCGTGGCAGCACTCGAGGCGCCCACCACCTGCCAGCCATCGTCATCCGACTCGCTCGAGCAAGAGTCCGATAGTTCCTCCTGCGCTGCAGCATCCTCTGGCATCTTTCCTGCCTCTACAACCCCTACACCTTCACTTTCATCATCATTCTCGTTGCTTTTGGTCAGGCGAATCTTGATGAACTCGGCCGGTACTCGATATTCCACTTCACCGTCGTCGTACTTGAGGTGATACTCGTTGCCCTTGCGTTGCTCCAGTATAGTGGCTGGAAACCAGTCGTTACCACCTCCAAACCTCGCCAGTACGCTCTGGTCTACAGTATATCTAGGGGCGTTGGCGGGTGGCAGCGACGCTTTGATCTTGCGAGCACGGCGAGTGCCGCCGAGGCTTTTAGGCTTAAATTTACGTGTGGCTAGCACCTGCGCGGCCGAGAGTCCATCGTCTGAGTCGCTGTCGCTAACGTCATTATCATCAGCAATTATTGCAGTTGCAGCAGGATCATTCGCTGGAGCTGCAGACGTTTGCAGCTTCTGCGGAGACTGTTGAGGTGGCGACGGAGAGTCGGAGGATGGAGATTTCTTAGCGATTTTCTTCTTGTTGCGCTTTTTGACGCGTTTAGTGGACGACTGGGATCCATTCTGGGCTGGTGTCTGCAACCACTTGTACACGAAGAGCGACAGCGCCGACAGAGCCACCGTAAGCACGAGGCGGGCCAGGAACGATAGCTCCGCCATCTTCTTAATGTGTCTGTGGTTTCTTTTTTTTCAATAGAAATAGAAATGCCGAATCAAAATTATTGTTTTAACATGACACACTGGTTAGTACTTTTTGCGCTTTCATTGTTGAAAACAAAAAAATGTCTACCATCAGGTGGTTTCAAGTGTACCATCAGTACGGCTGGTACACTTTAAGAGACATTTCCCTGTTCAATGTCTTAAGATCGATACATTCCGTTTCAAGCGCTGTCGTCTCGACAATATTAATTAGCACAATGCACAGACATTCACTTATCTAGATAATTCGTAGGAATAACAGCACTCAACGTAGATCCGGTTATTATTGGTAAAAATAAGAGCGTTCTTGTCCAAGTAGATACGATTAAACGGGTGCTTGACGTGACCGTTTTGGTGCTGCTTGGCGAGCAAGGCGAAGTGTTGTTTTGAGGGACAGGTCGGCAAATCGACGTTTTCGAGCTGAGGCACGAAGCGGCTAATTTAGTATCCCTCGCCTAAATACCTCCTTAGCGCGTTGTTCTGTCATGCTCATTGTAATTTCTCCTCCTCCCTAGCGGCTGCCTGAGTAATCGCTTCACCATTTGAAAGTGTCTTTCGCATCAAATCCAGGGGAAGATCGTGTGTGCCAATTTGCTTCAACAGAGGGCACCCCTTGATTTATCGCCAAACCACCAAGCTACCAAATCCCGTGTGCTCAAACCTTCAGAAACTGAAATGTCTCTTGAAGCATGTGAAACTTGCCGTCGCAGTAGCGAGCCACGTTGGGCTTCGGTCAACTGGTGTTACAGCTGTCTCCGCCATGACTCGTGCCTGCGCTAATCCATCGTGATTCAAGATGTTCTCGATAGTCTTTCCCAGCGGATTTCTCGTAATGTGCCCGCGGTAAACCCTTTCTTCTCAATTAGGGTTCTTATTCCGTCGAGCAGGACTGGAGACAGTTTACCGATGGACTTTATGCTGCTTGCACGGCTCTTCATGAGGCGGTGTTTTGGTAGGACACATCCAGGGCGACTCACCAGACACCAATGACATCGGCAACTTGCATTGCACGCAGCATTGATTTGTCCCGAAACAGAGCTGTACAGAGGAGTGAGAGTGAAAAAGGCACTTTGTCCCGAAGATACGCCGAATGCTTTACCAATGATACAATGCATAGTTTAAAACAATCCAGTGGGCCGCGAACGGGCCGCAATTCTGGGTACATTTCACGCACGCATGCACAAACTGTACGATCTTCATTGTCCATGAAGTGTGGAGGCAGGGTGGGAAATTCTGAGGATTGAGAGGCAGAACTGCCACAACGCGACCAAGGAACGGATCTCCAGCTGACTCATACTAGCCGAGCGCCGCCGCTACGCGGCGGTAATTTAGGTTTACTTTAGATTTTTGCCTTCCCGCCTTCGCTTCGCTTTGGCGGGATAATTAGTCCAAATCCTCTGAGTCCCCCATGTGCCTAAATCGACTTCGTTAATTTCATAAATCTGCGTTTCTTTTGCTACAAATTGCTGAGCTCCCAGTAAGCCGTGTAAATATTTCTACCGGTACAAAAGACTGAACCCCTAGCACATACTTACCATGCTCATAAACGCTTACGCTAGTGATCTTGGCAAAGTCTCTTTATTGTTGTTGGCTATCACTGTCTTAATCTTCCACCCAGAAGCACCTGCACTTCAGTCTAAAAACGCTAAATAATATATTTAGTTCAGCGTCGTGCTCGATTTCACGGGCCGTTTCTGAAACCTAAATTGCATCAATACAAAGAATATCTGTCCAGCTTGCATCAAATACCCGCTTGTACTGCCTGGTTAAGCTTGTAATAAACTGACTATTAACCACTTCGCATACCAAACTCGCTACTTTGAAAGAAAATTAAAAGTGTTACGATTTGAATTTTTAATAAAAATATTCAAGCTGTAGCATTTTTTTATGCATTGAAGTGTGTTCATTTTGTGCTGATTCAGAATCAGTCATTAGACACTCGAATCTGTGCCTGTTATGGTTATAGCCTTTGGATATAACGATGCGTCGCAAGACGCCTTGCTGTTGTTGTTGTTGACGGCGGTATTTGTATTTGATACTTAAACGATGATGTCAGGATGGTTAAACGTAGATTAGGCTTTAAGTTGATAAACGTTTCTTTACGGGCCTACTTATAGTAACCATAATTGACACCTCTCATGTTGTGCTGTTATCTTACCGCTGCGCGTCTACCTATTAATAAGTATCAGAATGTTGTTGTCTAAAAACCCGCTTAGAAAACAATGGTCAAGTTCAATTCGCTCACAGTAGTAATTGTCATCATCACATATAACTTCTTTTGTTTACACGTCAATCTAAAACTTTCTATCTTTGTGAATCAAGTGACAACGTTTATAAGCACAGCTTTGTTCTTACGACCAGTCCACACGACCGGCTACTGCTGTACATGTAACATATACGATTTAGCAATACCAGAAACCCACTCAGATAACTTATTAATGCTAATATTTTTACAGTAAAAAAATTATAATTATCATTTTAGTCAGTGTAACACGCAGATCCTACTGAGTACAGAGAATTTAGTATACTTAAACCATGTCCTCGGAAACACGCATGCTAACGTGTACGATAGGCACCCTGCCCTCCGTTTAGTACTCAAATATCAATAGCAACATGCATTATAAAAAAAGTTATATAATATTTAAACGATGCATTTGGATAATGTACAGCCTTGTGCAAATCCCCATATGTAAACTGGGAAACACATGAATTTATTGATGCAACAACACAATCTAGTTTTAACCAATTAAAGCCACCTTCGCTGCGCTTGGCAACCAGTAGAAATATTTAAATCATTTTATCCAATGATTTGTCCGGAAAAGCGTGACAGGCACGACAATTTAGTGTGACGGACAGACAGGTTGCTGCAGTAGATGTTTAAGATATGATGTAGCGATCCTGAACTCCTCCGAGAGACCATCCTACACGCAAGCAGACGCTGGGTATGGATCTTCCTCCTGTGGATTCGCTACAAGCAATCGTAGCTACTCCTTTTCGAATCGAATGGATTCCGTAGTGTGTTTGGTGCTTGAGGTTTGCAGTAAAATTGCAAGGAATGTTCCCGAATCTGGCTTTCTTTTCCGACTCTGGAAGCAAAGGACCCGGTAATTGTGTGGGGTGACATATTACTAATACTGTTTTCCAACAGATCTCGGGGCTAGCTGGGTTCGCATACATGTGACGCGGGTCTTTTGTGTAATATAACGTGAAGATGTAGAAGTGTCATTGCAATTAGCTATCCACCCCTTACAATGTATCTGGCAGCAATTCGTGCCTTCCGCCTCTGTAAATCCCGGCCAAGGTGCCAGAACACCGGCGCCCGAACCGGCCAAAGGGACCGCCCAGACGGTCTCTTTCCAATACTCCACTGGCTATGTCGCTCTCTTGTATCGCGTCACTTCAAGCTGAAGATCCTGTGTAACTCGGCCACCCTCAGCGCTGAAAGCGCCCTCGTAAGAAGCTCAGCCATAATCGCACGCGACTCTACGTACTCAGGCTTGATCACGCCCTTTAATGCGTTTTCGGATATGAACTTCACTCGAATATCTACATGCTTAGCACTCGCCATTCTATCCTTAGATTCCAGCTGCTTAATGGCAGCATTGTTGTTTATCTTCATGGACAGGGTCCCAACCACCCGGGAGCGCAGCTCTTATACCAGCTCCCGTAGCTCCCAGGAGCTCCTGCCCAACGTGCGATGCCGACGTGAACTCCGCCTCCATCGTCAACAACGCCACACAAGTCTGTTTCTTTCAGACCCATTGTACTTTAGCGCCGCCCAGCGTCATCACTCCTGAGGAAATACCAGAAACACCAGCATTTTTTTTGGTCAGCACCTCATAATCAGCAGGAGCACCGGTGCAAAACATGAACCCATCAACTCCCGCTGCTTTTCAGCCACACACATAGACCTACCGTATGAGACAAAATAATGTATATTGTGTTGTGTAGACGACTGTACTATGCTCTGTCCCAAATTCTATTCTCACAACAAGACCGTCCAAGCGCCAGCTACTCGCGCGGTTCCAGAAGGCCTCAAGAGAACGTCCGAGACCGCAGAGCGAGCACCGACACGCCCGGAGGTGGCGATTGCTTGACCCCTAGTCCACGATCTTCTAGGCTACGATAGTGTGCGGTGTTCTGGTAATATAATGGTGGATTTTATCAACGAGTTGTGCGATCTTGCGAAATGTGGAGATTATGGAAACAGCAGAGTTATGATTCCGCGCATTGTAGCCAAGATTTCTGCTTCCGCTGACCGCTACGTTGACGGTGGGTTCTCATGGAGCGACGCGGTTAGCAGCGAGGTGCCTGCGTTAGTCTTTCGAGGAGCCTGTAAAGATGTGGCACGCTTTCGCAAACAGGAACGACTTCCCGAAGCGCCTACCCACTTCAATGACTTACTGCGCGTGATGGATATGCGTGCCTATGTTCAGCGTCGTGTTGAGAGCCTATGGGAAAAGAAGATTCCAACCCCTTGCGATCAACTCATAGTCAATCTTCCTGGATACTACTCTAAGCTGGTATTTCCTGCCGATGAGGCCTACGTGTACCCTGTGGAGTCATGGCTTCAAAGCGGGAATCGAATCTCGCCGATTCACGCAGACCATGGTCGTGTAGTGTCGTATATACCTCCAAGCCTCACGCACACCTTCAAGATTTGGGTGTTCTTCAGAACGCCTAAGTGTGCAGAATTGTTTAGTTTTGAAAACGGAAACGACACTTTCAATCGCATGATCGACACAACCAAATCGTGCGTACTAGTGCAGCGCCCGGGTGATGTGGTTTATTTGAACATGCTGGTATATCATTCTGTTCTACTTGGATTTATCCCCGGTACGCCGGATCACCTAAGGTGGGGGGCCATTTCTGGCAACGTGATTATCAGCGCTAAGGACAGATTGGCATCTTTTCGCTACGCTACTCGCGTTACCTCGGGCGCTCGGCGTGGCTCACTGAAA